CTCTCTCTCTCTCTCTCTCTCTCTCTCTCTCTCTCTCTCTCTCTCTCATGCGCGCACGCGCGCAGGGGGTGGGGGGGCGGAGAGAAAGAGAGAGACATGCTAGGCAAGTGCTCTACCACTGAGCTACATCCCCAGCTTTCAAATGGTCTCTTAAAAAAAAAAAAAAATGCTCACCTTCATCTTAATAGCAAAAACACAACCAGGGACAATATGGAAATAAAAGAGTTGGCTGTGTTCCAATAAAACTTTATTTACAGAAATAGGCAGCAGGCCAGATTTGCCCTGTGGGCCATTCCTGGTTCCTGCCTTTGAGGGAGAAAAACAGACGCTGTGAGTAGTAAATCCTGATATATGTTAATATTAGAAATAATAATTTATTTCATCTGACATTCAGAGAAAAATCAGATAGTTATTGATGTTCTTCAAAGGATGATTGTGATACAGTCATATTAAAGCACCTTAATGCATTTATGTTTTTAAGATGTTCACACCATTATTTATTAGATATTTCTTGTGTTTAAACACACATACACACAAACTATAAAAAAGATAATAAGTCTTGAAATTTTTTTCATGAGCTTTGTATTTCTGTTGGTAAGTGTGAGTTCTTTACGTTATCTTTTGTTTTTTAATGGCCTCTTGGACCAAAAAAAAAAAAAAAAACTATTGTATTTTGAAAATTAGCGTATAATTAGCTACAAAATTTTTAAAGACTGCATTTATCAGTTTTTTCTGTTAGTTTTGGCCTCTAATAATTGACAGATCTGTGCTTTAAAAATGATTTTAAAGAAGATAAACAGGCTGCAATTTCACATTTTAGTTTTTCTCTGTAAAATTAAAAATTGTGACTATATAATGATCTATAATGTGAATGTTACAAGTGACTATAAGAAACAGTGTATCTCTGCTTTCTCTGTCCAAATGTTTAGATTTTTAGACACCATAGGGCTATCCATGATGAATGATATTCTTAATGTGATAATGTATAGTTCTGAATTCCTTGGAAGTACACACTTTTGGGCATCCTCATTCACAGTGTTCACATTCATGGTGTTTCAGCAAAAGCATCATAAGAACATTAAATTGATGTGAAAGTTACTATTCACTTAAATAGTTATGCTTTATTTTAAAATTGGAATACAATTCTACCTTTTAACAGTGTTTATTGTTTTGTCTATTTTTGTTTCTTTAATGCTTTCTGTGAACTTACTTATTGTTCCTGTTATAATAGTACTGTTATATTAGAAGTGGCTTTTTTCTCTAATAATCTTTAGATTTAAAAACAATTTAAGGCTCTCTAATGACCATTTGGCAGAGAAAATATCTGCATGTTTTAATTTAGTTAAAACTTGTAAAGTTTTACTTTTTAAATCATGTAATAAATTTTCTGCTTGGGTATTTCAGGAAAAAAATGTTGACCATTAAAGCCTTGGCCATCTGTTTTTCTAAAGCAGCTTATGTCTCAAAGGAAAAAGATATCGAAGAGTAATGTTTTGGTTTTATAAAGAATATGTTTTCGATTTCCTTTGGTTTTTTAAATCATAAAATTATAAATTTTCTATCTTATGTAAAATAGTAACAAACATGCAAACTTCTGCAGACTTAGTATTTTGTTGTAGTATACCAGGTTACTGATCTTATCTTTTCCTTTTAGTTTTGGTTTTCTAACCCATAGTAGTATGCTGATAGTGGAATTCCCTATTTGATTCTGCAAACTTTTCTTACAGGAAAAGTAAGTTAAAGAATATGTTTAAAGCAACCATTTGATAAGCCAGTATGATTCTATTTATCTCTGTCCTCTGTGTTTCTGTAATGGAATTTTTACAATTCCAAAAGCAATTTATTAGAACTACTGGAAATCCTTGATAAACAGATATTTGATTCTGCCACTGAGGGAGAGAAATTAAAGTATTCGTTTTTCTTATGGTGGTTTGTTTTTGTTTCATGAAGAGAAATTGGTCTCATATGGCAGCATAGATGCTAATAAATAAAAGCATTATCCTTCTGTAGTCCATAGCTTACCTGCATTCAGTGGTTAATAACATTATGAGCATTCTGTAAAGTAAGCTCATGTTCAGTGTCAATGTAAATGTTAGCACCAAAATTAATTCCTCTGAAAACTGAAATTAAATGTCAAAGACAACTAGTCATAACTTAAGATGGTGAGAGTGTTTTCTTTCTAGTCAGTCACGAAGGTGTGTGTATGTGGTGATTTTGAAGTGTCATCAGGTATCTGGCCAAGACAGAGTGATTGTTAATAGTGACCTTGTCCATAGAGTTTTTAAGAAATGTTGGGTGACATTGGTGTCCTTTTTCTCATTATGAGGGCTGGCAAGTGATTGAAAAATATTGCTAAGGCCCCTTTTGTGGGATAATAGGTACTGGAATTCTGCATCAGGTTTGAGCACTAATGTATGTGAAGCCTCAATACATGCTTGGGGCTCAAGAGAACCAGGGTCAGTACATCTGCCTTTAAGTTCACCTTGCAGTAGGGCTGGAATTTGCATAATCAAAAGTTGACTATTTAAAAAAAATAGTCTGAATAGATCTCAAGGAAGAGAAATGGAAAGTTTTAGTTTTCTGGTAGTTGAAACTGAAAAACCTAAATCACTGTAGGAAACTGTACTGCTTCTGAGAAATACCTCCACAGGTTAAAAAAGATTTCAGACAGTTGCTGGGATTGTGTTCCAATTCCAGTCCTGCACCCGTTGCTATGGTAATGTCTATATCACACACAATAGGTAGAATCAGGGCAAATCATCTTTCATAGTCTTTTTGAAACTCAATTGTAAAATGATGTTCATGCCTGTCTGACAGGCTTATTGTCACCAATGGGATGATGGTGATGGCAGTAGGCATGAGGATAATTGAAGAACAGATGCAAATGTATACAATGCTGCATCTATCCCATTCTTGCTGAAGTGAAACTGGGATTTTCACTTTCTCCCAGCTATTTCAGAAACTGTATGTTCCTTACCCAACTGTTCTAATAATTTTCTGTCAGTGAAAAGACACTCTATTTCAGTTACAGTCAAAGTAAGTAATGAGATGTTCCAAGGATCTCCATGATTTAATATACTCGTTCTATCAATGCATAAGATATTATTTCAGATAGCAGATTTTTTCCTCCTATATTGCTTTTTAGACCTTTGCTTTTCTTATTTCAGATAGCAGATTTTTTCCTCCTATATTGCTTTTTAGACCTTTGCTTTTCTTGTTGTCTTTTCCCTGAAATTGCTATTTTCCGTTATCAGATACTCTTTTCTTCCTTCTTCATTGTCTTAGCTTAA